CATCCATTGATTATTCTTCACAATAGTGATCTTGTAAAAAGAAGAGAATCGATGCCGACAAGAACCTAGAACGTAATTAATAGAAATATGGTCACAAGCTTTTGCACCAGATTCCTCAAAATCAAAATCACTATAATTACTCTACATTTAGTTTTAGATTTTATTTGTGATCATTAAAGTTTCAATTTTTCCTACTTCTTTCAATGGTGATCTACATACAATCATCGATTTCATCATATAACACATATAACAAGAGAGAACTTAGGAAAAGAATAAAAATTTTCTATGTTAAAAATCAAACCTACTATTACATACATGTATACACTTATTAGTCTTGGCGCCTATTGTAAAAATTTTCGTCTTTTCATTTATCACTGCTGAGAACTCAACCGATGCATATTTATCACCAAGATACTAAAAGGCCAAGCAGTGATGCAAAGAGATTGTTCATAGGGTGAGTTCTGTCCGTCCTCTCCTTTTCGGCAGTTTTGTTGTTTCGTTCTCCTTTTTCTTTTTCGTTTTCGTTTTATTCTTATCTTTTGGCATGTAGTAGAAGAGATATGGAATCGAATAGCTTTTTAGTGGTAGTAGGTTGTAATCTTTTGAAAAGAGTGGTCGAACAAAAGCAGAATATACACACAATACGTAGTATAGCGCACACATACAACAAACTCTCAAGGACTTATAATAAGAGGGAATATAAATTATCACACCCCTTCCAGCACGAAATTAGAAAACTATTTTACTACTTAGCGAATCGTTCTTGCACAGAGTGCATAAGAGGGCATTGCACTTAAAATTATGATTGTTTTCTTTCATAGAAGTAAATGATTGTCGATATTGATTAACCACATATTATTGTTCACACAATCGATGTTCGATGATCAATTATAAATAAGTAGATCGGAGCATGTTCTCCGGTTCGGAAGACTAATGCATAAAAACCAATTTAATCACATTGTGCCATTCGTTCAAGAGATTGCTGTAACAAGAACATCAACGATTATCTGACAGAAAACCAGAGAGTAACGAATGTTCCTGAATGAGCTTTCTGGAGGAGCTAACTACTCTTACGTATCTATACACTCAACAGTGAAATCCACACTATCTTGCACGAATACATAAATCAGTTCAGTTCTTGTCTAACGAGACTTCTGTTGTGTTTGTGGATAGTGATGAGCTAGTGAAAAAGGTGTCGACTGATCAGAAAATGCGTGAGGAGATAGAGAATCAGTCAACATCAATCATCTTTACTAAACATTTTTACGATTTAAGGAGAATAAATTCATTATTGCAGATATTAATACAACAGCTAATGTAAATAGCATTTTATTAATAATAAAAGAAAAACTTTGACTGAAGAGCTGACTCCAATGAGAGAGAGTGTGTATAGGTATCTGTCCATAAATGCCCCAAGTTGATTCAAACCAGTTGTGAGAGTAGGACACTCCTTCCTTATCGATTATAGCTCATTTTCTAGGAAACAAAGCTCTATAATAAGTCGATGCTGACTTGTCCAGGAAAGAGCCGCAAGGTGCTCAAAGATTTTCTTGACGAAGTTTGGCTTTCATTCATCCAAATACCCATTACTTTCCTTATTCTGATAAGCAGTTGGTAACGAAGCGCGAGATGTTTCGAAAGAAACATTTTCGTAGAGGAACTGGAATGTATATTAAAGATGTGTGGATACATTTTCTCACGAGAAAGATCCGCCAACTGATTCACACCGTTTTGGTTGCTATTTTACCCACATATAGGAGATATCATTCTAAGTAAAAGCCTAAGAGGTGCTGATGCGGCTTCTTTCAATAGTTATGATTTTTTTTTACTCTCCATAGAGTGAGCGACTGTGTCACTAAAATTTATGTAAACTCAGCCACTAAAGGATTTCAAAAGCTAATTTCTTTTCTCATTATAGCTGTAGTTGTCTACTATTTTCAACACAAAATTTGCGACCTTGAAACTTTAAATTAGAATGAGTAATTGAATTTTTGCTCTGTGACTTCAGCAGGCGAGGATGATTTTAAAAAAATTCTTTTTTTTAATATCTTAAAGGGTCTTTTTATTTACTCAAGCAATCTTCTTCAAGCCTTTGTTTTTCTTTTGTTTGTTTCAAATTTTATTAAAGAATGAAAAGAGAAAAACAACGTGATAGAGAATAATATAGCTAAAAAGCTTCCCAAGACCCTTTAAGATATTAAAAAAAGGATTTTTTTAAAATCATCCTCCGCCTGCTGAAGTCATAGAGCAAAAATTCAATTACTCATTCTAATTTAAAGTTTCAAGGTTTTGATTCAAATTTTGTGTTGAAAATAGTAGACAAGTACAGCTATAATGAGAAAAGAAATTAGCTTTTGAAATTCTTAGGCTTTTACTTAGAATGATATCTCCTATATGTGGGCAAAATACCAACCAGAACGGTGTGAATCAGTTGGCGACCTTCTCTCGTCCGTTTTGTGACAGCGTTTTTATTACAAGATGAAGACTTAATATTTATTTTGAGATAAGAAAAGGCGACTCGTTTCGCAGAACAAATAGTGTTATAAGATATGATTTGCAGTTTGCTAAGTTTACAAAATAAACATCTTTGACATGAAATGAATTCAAATGTCATTTGACATTCAAATAGATTATCTTACAGGTATGTATAATAACAAAATCATCGCATAAAGAAGAAACACTTATTTTCACGATATTTTGAAAAATGAAGGCCTTTCTTTTTATTTTTATAATTTCATTTTTGTCTATTGTCGACGGACAGCGGTGTCAGGGGAATTTCAATGAAGCGATCACTGGGCAATGTTCAACTATTGACAACTGTAATGGAACAGTATTAGATGTTGCGTCGTGTGAACGACAACGTTGTTGCGTTGTCGTGGAAGGAACACTACCACCGCCTTCGCCCATATGTATTACTGCAGATAATTTCGATATCTTATACAATACATCCCGTGCTACGTACCTTCGAGCATTCCTAAACCATGGAATCAATGAAGCGGGTATTTGTAACAATTGCCAGGCAAAAGCTGCTTTCCTGGCCATAGCAGCCACAATGACAGACAATTTTCAAAAAGATGAAGCAACGGGTACTAATGCAGACTTTGCTCGTGATGACAGAAAGTATGGAAATTCACAACCAGGCGACGGATCGATGTTTCGTCGACGAGGTTTCTTTGGCCTTCGAGGAAGAAAAATGTATGAACGATTGCAAAAATCGATGCCACAATATCAAACTCTAACTAATCCAGAATCAGCAGCGATAACACGAAATGCAATTGAAATTGCTGCCAAACTATGGAAAATTCCAGATTTGGAAAGAGGTAAATTTGACGTTTTTCTAATTACATTAGGTTACAGTGATCTCATTCCGTTTTTGGAATCGTCCGTATCGAAAATAATGCAGATAAAGCGATAATGAATGACTACATTTTCTTCTCCTGTAAAGCTCAAAAGACTACGAGAACAACATTATATTGGAATGAAAATGGTAGAAAGACAAAAAGTGTCCTTCCTCTCCTTTCAATGGTATTGTTCACGAGCAGTGTAATGTTATGGACGCTAATAAAGAGTCGTGTATCTCCCGTTATTTGTAGCTAGGCTGCTAGTTACTGCGGATTTAGGCGACTTCAGTACTACGCCGAAGAATAGCCTGGGGTAACACATTTTAGACGAGTTCTGGTTCGCGCTGATAAGCATTTGCTTTCTTCAGACTAATAAAAGATATTAGTCAAACTGACGAAAAATGAGACTGATTTATACTCTCTTTTGAGAATTTTGAAGACCTAAGTTTTCATCTTTCCTTGACAGAACCAGCGTTAACGCGATATGCTGACGGTACATTTTTTGGTTTTTCAATAATATGGTAAGTATTGGGTGCTCTCCTTATATCCAACTTTGATGTCTAATTTCATTTCTATCTTCCTCATTCTTCAAGGTATAAATTAGTTGAGAGTATTGAACAACTGTCTGATGCAACCAAACAATATTCGAAATTCCTTCGTCAACTGCAGTGTGGCGGTGATTTGTATCCGGGCCAAGGATCGACTTGTCGGTATAATGCTACACATAATGGCACATGTACGCCAGATTGTATAAAAGGTCTAGAAGATTTAGGTGAATATTGCGGTTGCATTAATGGAAAGGGACCACAATGTCCAAACAGTCCCGTCCATATTCGATGTTGTTTGGTTACATGTTCACAAGAACTAAAAATGGATTTGGGATTTGTTCTGGATGCTAGTGGTAGTGTTCTCCTTGCCAATTATCAATTACAGCTAAATTTCACAAAAAATTTACTTCGCCAAGTTAACGTTGGCCGAAATAAAACACATGTTGGTATTATAAACTTCTCTGATACGTATCAAAATGTGACATGGTTAAATAGTGATTATAATCTAGAACAAAAACTTGAAAAAGTTGGCAAAGCCACATACTTCAACGGTGCTACAAACACGGCTCTTGCACTTCAGCAAACAAACAAGGTTTTCTCATTTGAAAATGGTCTTCGACAACCAGAAGAAGGTGCACCCCGAGTGGTATTTGTAATCACTGATGGAAGAAGTGATAATCGAACTGCTACAATTCAAGCTGCTAGTGCTTTGAAAGAAAAAGAAATTAATTTGATTAGCGTCGGAGTTGGCACAGAACTTGATCTTGTTGAGTTATATGCTGTTTGTACACCACCAGCAAGTGAAAATTATTTTGCAATGGCAAATTATGCAGCCCTTGAACAAAAATTAAGCCAGTTCACGTCGAAATCATGTTCCGAACCGGCGATTGTCAATAACAACACGACGGTCACCAGTGAAATCGGTAAAGACAGATATAAATTTCTGAAAATTGAAATCGTAGCGATTGGTAACAAAATCCTGGTTACTGTTAAATTGTTCAATGGTAAGGTGAAATTGTTTTATTCATTCACTAGTCGTAACCCAAAAGATCCAGCTGATTTTGATGATTACGAGGTAAAAACAAGCGCTGATGATCAGTCACTTTGGATGAGGTTAAAATCACATTTTCGAACAGTATCTAAGATAACAAAAGCTGCAGATGACGAAGTGATCTTGGTCATTGATAAACCAGATACAGCAGTGGAATTTGTTTACGTTGGTGTCAAAGGTGTGGAAGACGACAACAAGTTTGAAGTTAAATTCGATGATTGTGAAAATGTTGTTTGTCCAAAATCATCGTCGTCGACAATGAAACTGAACATCGTGTTGCTGTTCATGTCTGCTCTGTTTTTCTCGTCGAAAGTTATTCAATAAAAAGTGCTTATTATACACTTTTGATTCTGTGACCTGTTTCCTCTCGAATAGACTTTATATGGTGTAATAAAAATCTTTATAAAGCAGCTTTCAGTAAACCAAAAGAATTACAAGTTTGCTTGCAAAAGAACTATTTTGATTCATAACATCCGACACCTTTTGAGACTCTTCAAATTCAGTAATATTACTATGCACCGGAAGAGTGTTTGCTGTTTACTGAGCGTGTTGTGTTCGGTAATAGGGCTGTGACAGTTACCAGTTACCTTTACCACCGTTACCCGGTAACGGTAACTGCTGAACAGTTCCCGTTCCTGGTAAGGGTAACGGATAAGCAGTTACCGTCCAAGTAACGGTAACGACCAGTTACAAGTAACGGTAACTGTTCAGTATATCTTTCAAGAGTTAAATCTCTAAATATCTAGGTATCCAGGATGAGGGTGAAAGTTCGTAGCCTCACCCTCACCCTGGATACCTATATATTTAGAGATTTGACTCTTGAAAGATATACTGAACAGTTACCGTTACTTGTAACTGGTCGTTACCGTTACTTGTACGGTAACTGCTTGCACGTTACCGTTACAAAGAACGGTAACCGACCAGCAATTACAGTTACTGTAACGATAATGGTAACTGTCACGGCCCTATTCGGTAAGTCTCTGTAGAAGGGGTGATCTTAGGGAAAAAAATACAATAGTCTTGTTTGAGATCTAAAAACTACACTTTAAGGAGTCATCAGGGGCATATTCACTTGTTCTGTATTTCTGACTTCTGTTGTCCCAAGAAGCTCCATAACTATCTCCTAATAAAGTTTGTACCTTACACGGGAAGTTAAATGTTGGAGAAAATGTCAGAAAACCACTGAAAATCTTGGTAATTTAAGTATTTTTCACAGGATTAAAACTTTTTGGGAGTCTTTTACAGTATAGCACTTCCCTACTTGAACCTCCACTCTTATTTTCTTTTCTATAAAATCTTAGTCTTTGCTTTCTTTTGACATGGAGCGGACGGTAGAGCAGAGTGTGGTTGGATGTAGACAAGCAGCATTTGAAAGGACGGGACTACAGGTCATTTTGGGTCACAATGCATTTTCTATTGAAAATCACTCTGTTCGATGCAGAATGAGACGGTGAATCATTTTGTATCAAATTCTTCTGAATTGGTTGAGATCCGTATTGACGTGCGTCAATTTACTGGAGACATGCCATCGAGGTGGTATCGAACTATGTGGCATCAGAAGGAAAGAGTTCGGGTTATTATCTGATGCGATCGATAGCTTATCTGGTTCCATATATCTGCTAGAAATATCACTTGAAACTCTTAAATTCTCGATGCTAGAGAGGCGGAATAGTAATAATCAATATTATATTGTCTCATGGTGGAGAAACGCTTCCATTTCGGAAACATCGTATCAGATCAGTAATTCACAAATCGTACTTGACATTATGCATGGAAAAATTCCACATTTCATTAAAACCGCCGCAGTTTATATGAAACAGTTCTATTATGATACAGCACTGAATACTAGTAAAATTGCACATTATGGTATAAAAGATATTACATTAATTTTCAATATACTTTATGGTAGTGATGCCAACTATGCACCCGAAATTACCGGTTACAGAATGAATAGAGAACTTAAGCATTTTGACGGTTCTGATAAAAAGGCCTATCAAAATATTTTGTGTAATAATGCTTTAAAACTATTTTCAAGGTTTAAAATATTTCGTTGATTCAATCTGCGCTCTATTACTGATCTTTATATGAAGTTCCGTGAATAGAGATGTATATCTAGGAAACAGGAATGGGAGGAATCAGGTTGTGGAACGCTTAGGTGTGAAAAGAGCACGCGTGCTTTATCAGTGTAGAACATGTTCCAAACCGTTCTACATTTAACATGAATGTAGAAACTAGAACTGCGTGAACTAGTGCCGAAGCTGCGCACTCGGACCGAGACAGACTGTTTTAAAAATGATTCAGCAAAATGCTTTTGTACTTTCATGTCAACGAACACCTGTTTGTATATTTTCATTAGTTTAAAAACACGTCTCTGGTTCGTTTAAAGCTAAGAACTAATAGAATTTCTCATTTTAACACGTCGTTAGAGTAAAAAAGGAAGCCATTTTTCGAAAAAAGATTTGGTCAACCATAGGATCGTGACAAAACAGCTGGTTCTGCCCGTGTCTAGTAGTGAAATCTTTAATAGGGGAAATCTGTTGGCTGTTAGCATTGAACGAACAACGAAAATACAGGATAAATATAGCTACCATGATGGTATTCTTCCATTGCATACATTGGTGGCCGACCTTCCGTAAGAAACTTGTTCGTTCTCGTGTGAATTGCTTTCTTGGTAGTAGATGATGAGAGGTGGCAACTTTCACCACTTCTTTTCCAGTAGGGATGCACCGAGACGGGGTACTCGATACCCGAAACTTTAGTCTCGATTAGTCCCGAGTCTCGAAAGTTTCGGTCTCGAATAGGCTCGATATAAAAGTGTAGGTAGCAAAACTTTCCGAGACTTTTTCTAGACTATTTTTTTTGTTCTGTATAGAAGATTTCTTTGGTGAAATATGTACTGGACGTAATGTCGAAAGACATTTTTTTGTAGTAGATATTTTGTATGGT